ATTGTATTTCCCCACGAACTGCCTTAGAGAAGGGTATAGTTTCTTAAAGAGAAAAGAAGCTATACTTATCTCTTGGATACCGCATATACCTACGAAAGGATTCCATATGCTGTGTTGTCATTATAGAGAAATTAAGAAGCCTTTACTCTGTAACAATACCTTAATTAATAGAAAAGAAACCAAGCTTAATTCCATTTTTCGTTGTATGTTCACGTGACATATACCAATCAATTTTTTTAGCTTGTCACTTATATCACAAAAATCATCAAGCTGCCCAAGTCCTCGCATGAAGTCAGCTCTCAACGAAATCGGCCAGATGCAAAATTTATGAGATTAGGAACTAAATCAATTAACTTTAATTAAGAATTGATATAACTAAATTATGCAAAGCTAAAATATAAAACTTACCATTACTACTGCTAGTTTCATCTTCTTCACGGCGGGTAATATTTGTCCAGAATTGTTGATATTGCTATTTTGTGTCTCAATAAAAATGAAAAAAAATACAATTGTTAGTTTAAAAACTAATATATAAAGTTCATTAACTAATATTATTTATTCATATTAATAAAATTTAATAGTCTCATTCCATTTATTTGGTCATTAGATGAAACTGGGTAACTGAATAGCCTGATTCAAATATGACCAACAAATAAGCAGCCAAATAAATTCAGGGTAACTGAATAGCCTGATTCAAATGTTGATATAACCATCACACCATCAATCTAATCAAGGAAAATTATATTAATTATAAATATAAACTTAATTAGACCTTTTCTTGTGTGAGCTTTTTCAATTTATCTCTATTATATTGATTTGTAATGTTTTCATATAACTTTTTTATCTCAGGTGATTGTTTATCTATTATATAGATTTAAAAAAAAAACATTACTCTTGGTTTAGAAAATACTAAATACAGAAGCAAAAATTCTGTGATATTAAGTATCTGATTTTAAAGTCAATTTATAAATATAAACAAATGCAGATCAACACATGATCAGGTTGACATGAATTAAAAGCTTTTTTAATTTGAATTCTACAGATCTGTAGAACTCAAATAAAAAACAAATTTTATTAAAATTGGTCAAGATACCTTCGCTCAAAATGTAACATTAAAATATTCATACGGTGGAAGCAGTGATATGATTCGTAAATTGAACTATTAGAAGACTCATCTGATTGGCTGACTTTAATCAAATTTCATCATAATAATTTTTACATTTTGTCAGTCATATTTGTAGTTGCAACAAATTAGCCAATTTGAATAACTTGCCGTCAAATTACATGCTTATCAATCCGAAAATTTTTCAAAACTTTAAACTCAATTCGTTCTTCGACATCTAATGCGGTAGCAGAATGAACTTAAATTATATTTTAAAAATTGGCATTCTGGTCATTAAAGTTATCTGGCTATGTTAAAATAATTAAAATTTCCAGCTTCAGCCACAACAACTAAATTAAAATATAGACAAAATGACAGCCTTGATTGCGTTAACAGAAATGCTTGAAATTTAAAATTTGATTCTGCTTTTTACACCCTCGCAGACCTGTGGGACCATCAAATCACGTGCCGCTGTGAACAAATTGCAATCTACATTAAACTTTAACTACAATAAAATAATTCAAAAAAAAATAATTCTGACAATAATGCGATAAGTTAAAAAAATTTATGAGTTGACAGAAAAGGTTTGCAATAGAGGTTGGAACCAGTTTTAAAATTAAAACCGGTTTCAACCTTGATTGTCATGTGATTTTAGTCAGGAAAAATGATCTACATTGTTTTGATTTAAAATTCATCGTAATTGTTTATAATTTTCACTATGCCGAAATTTGAAGACTACTTTGAATATGCAAACAAAAAGGATTATTGCCTTTACGATTTCTGGCTATATGCTGGCCTCAAAGGCATGATTAATTTTAATAATAACAAAGAAACTATGATCAGAAAAATAAGTTTTGTATATTATAATAAATATCCAAAACATAAAGAAAGTATACTTTCCTTTTAACTGTTAGCAATAAACATAATAATGAAAGTTCTTAGTGCTTATTACAAGAAATATCAAAACACCATCTGAATAATTGTTAATGTCTGATTTAGTTTTTAAATCCTCCTTGAACTTGACCTTCATTTTTTATAAAATGTCTCATACAAGGACAACAGCATTATTTATTTGGTGATTAATACTAATGTTAAATAACCATTTAATAGCTGCTAACATCTGATTTTGTTTTCAAAATCCTTCTTGAAATGATCTTTATTTTGTAATAATGACTCATAACAAGGATGACAGCTCTATTCTTGTATTTTAATGTTCGCATTAAGTGGTTTTGAAATTAATAATATACCACATAGTTATCTTTATGCCACAAATATATGATAATATATTTTTTTTATAAATAGAATAAAAAATCTAAGCAACTTGATGAATTAATTCAATTAATAATTGAGGCTAAAAAAAACAATTAATACATAAAATATGGACTGTATTTAGAAAGCAATGCCAGAACTAGAGGATGGTCAAATATATTGAAAGAAATATGCCCAAATTTGTTACTTGCAGAAGCAAAAGCATATCTGTAAAATGTATGTATATAGTTAATTAGAATCGATTTATTTGTCTTATTGTATTAATTAACTATTAATTTATTTATTTTTACAGCTACAATTTCATGATGGTGCAAGTGATATCATCAAAATATTCAGTCAAATGATATATGATATTCAATTTAAAATAAATGATGATTTGCTTCTTTCAGGAATCTTAAATATTCAATTTATAGAGAACAATCATAAAAATCTCAAAAATGTGTATAATTCTAATGGAGTTTGGAACGAATTAAATGAAAAAATTTAAATAGAAAAATTGCCACCTCCTCTTAAAGACTTTATTGAAAATTATATCATATCTCAAGATACAGAAATTCCAACAACAATCGATACAAAAGACAAGATATTGTTTAGAACAACTCGATCGTTATTAGATAAGATATAAGAAAATTATCAATATATTTTTAAAATCTGAAATAATAACTAAAATTATTTTTATACAAAGCATGTTACTTTGGGAGGCATCAAATTATAAAACAAAAAATTCTCTTATTAATGAAAGTACCTGGGCTCATGACATAGTTGATCCAATTTGCTGATTTATCAGGTTCAATTTGTCAGATTTAATAATTTTATGGTAATTTAAATATTATTTTTACAAATAAAAATACAACTTTTATCAATATTAATTTTTTATTTACAATTAGGGATAATGTTAAAAGCAAAGCAATACAAGAAAGGAATGATTTGGATAATGGACCAATCAAAAACCAGACATATTTGGAACTTATTCTAATGAAGGATACAATTGGGAACTTTTATATGGTGAAATTTCAAATGGTCCTTTTGTGGATACTGTGCAAGGGAAAGCTCATAAAAAATTTGATAGAATAAAATTAGGAAAATTTGCAAAAGATTCATGGGATAATGCTTACAGATATTATGTTGCTAAGCATGAAAATCTTAATTCAGAATTTCAAAAATTAAGCATTTTTCTTCTTCAGGTCTTAGGTAATTATTATTAATAATAGTTGATTTTCATTTATTAAATAGAATCGTCTTTAAATTTCACTTTATTTTTAGGCATTTTTTTAGAGTTATTTATTGTTGACAGAAAATACCCATCATTATTTAGACTACACTGATTCAAAAAAACTCATCATCAACTGCATCAATAATTAATTTAATATCAGTCCTAATGACGTATCATAAATTGTTACAAGACAATCTCATATTAATTAAGTCAATTGATATGAAGTTAATAATTAATAATGAAGAAGAAAAAATTGGAGAGAATGATTAAATTAGTTTTAATTTAGCTCCAACATCAAATACACTTAGGAGTTCTAAGATTTTTAAAAACAAATCATAGATATAAAAATATTCACTGAGAACATTTCTCAAAAATATTTTTCAAATACACTTTCAAATCTTGAATTATTATACTACAAAGTGAATTATAAACATATAATCTATAACATAATTTTTTGGTTTAAAAAGATATTAATTAATTATTTAATTTTATTAAAACAATAAGACCGGTATAGTAAAAAAAGGGTGCTATTTTCTGGAAGAATACAATCATAATATTAGAACAATAAGTCTACACTATTTACGGTATACAAAGAGGCATGAAAATAAGATCTTATACTTTAGATATTTAATATTTCTACAAGGGTTTCATCCGGTAAGTGTGTAATGGAACTCATTTTTTGTAAAAAAAAAATTAAAGGTTAAAATTTTTTCGAGAATTTCACGTTTGGATTCTTTTTAACAAAATAAGTCTGGTTTTACCTAGTTTACATGTATATAAATTTTTTTTTGAATATACAGTAATTTTGTTTAATATAATATAACGTGCCTATTACTATGCACAGTAAACTTGTATTTAACTGGTTTTCAATAGAACAGAAAAATTATATTAATTTATTTTTTACACAATATATGAAGTTTAATGTATATTCACAATAAAGCTGATAACCAGTTACGGTTATTCTACTGTATATTATTCGTTATCACATGTCACATAAATGATTTGGTTTATATGATAATCTCCGATTAAAAATTTGAACGAATTAAAATATCTTCGGAGTTGGATGAACTCAACAAAGTGAATAGAATGGTAAAAAATTGTAATACGTTTTTGTAAGGTTATTTGATATTTTTATCATATATATTAATGATGTATCAACAAATATATCTTATAACCAATAATTATACTAAATATAATCTGGCGAAGAATATTTTATTTTTGCGAGGTGAAATCAAAAGATTAGAAAATCAACGACTGGCGAATTTAATTTTGCGAGGCGAAATCGAAAGATTAGAAATTGAAAATCAACGATTGGAAAAAAATAAACATTGGTAACAGTTTGCATTTCTATTTAAATATTATTAATTAAGAAACTCTTTTTAATCTTTAATAAAATAAATTTTGTAGTTATAAATTCGTGCTTCACATATTTGCGTTTGTTATCACAATATTTATTAGTCTTTTACATGAGTTTATATTTTGGATTTTAACATTTGTTATTAGTATCGAATTTGTAGTTAATAATCTTTATTTGAAAAGTATTTTAATAAAAAATTGAAAAATCGTAACATTCAATTATCTTGTTTATATGAGGGAAGTATCCTAGCCACTGCTTTTCCCGCATTAGAAATTTTTTGAATAACAGCTACAATAGCTTTTAATTGTCTGTTTTTTTTTTATGTTTTTTCTAATGCATTTCTTTTATTTATATACTTATCAAGCCAACTAAGAAAATTTTATATTCTAAAATAAGTTGAAATTTATAAAATTCATTATTCATTAATATATACATATTATTAAGCTAAGTTATTTATGTTTATAATATTATTGATACAATCAACATTCTTCATTATCATTTAAAGATTTGTCTGCCTTTTCTAATATTTCTTGATGTTCTTTTATCTCTTTTTCGATTTTTTCTTGATTTATTTTGTCAAAAGTTTTTTTAAGTTCTTTATAAGCTTGTTTTAATTCCCTAATTACTTGTTTTCTTTCTTCGCCTACTATTCTTTGCTTGTCTAATATTCTAACTTCTTTTTTGAGAGATTCAATTTTTTTGTTAAAGTCTTTAATTTTTTTTTGTGATTCTTTATAATCGTGTTCCTTTTCTGTGAGTTTTTTGTTAAAGTTCACATTTTCTTTCTTGGCAGTTTCAAGCTCTTTTTCCTTTATTGAGAGTTTTTTGTCAAGGTTCATAATTTCTTTCTTGGCAGTTTCAAGCTCTTGTTTCTTTAAAGTGAATTTTTTGTCGAGGTTCGCATTTTCTTTCTTGGCAGATTCAAGCTCTTGTTCTTTTATTGAAAGTTTTTTGTCAAGGTTAGCATTTTCTTTATTGGTGGTTTCAAGCTCTTGTTCCTTTAATGTGAGTTTTTTGTCAAGGTTCACATTTTCTTTATTGGCAGTTGCGAGCTCTTGTTTATTTAGTGTGAGTTTTTTGTCAAGATTCGTATTTTCTTTCGTGGCAGTTTCAAGTTCTTTTTTGGTATTCTTATGATTAATTTCAAGGTCTTTAAGATTCTTCACAAGAACTCCATGTTCAATCTTGAGCTCTTCATAAGCCTTTTCGGTTGTTTGATATATATTTGATTTTCTAATCTATACAATATTAATTAGAATAATTATTAAAAATTCCTAAAAATATAAAAAGTACTTACTTGTTCAGAAAAATGATTACTAAATGTTTGGGCCAGTGTTTCAAATGACTATATAATCAGGTAATAATATTTATTAATTTTATTGAATATCAAATTTTATTATATAATTTACTTACGAATTTCCAGTTGCTATTAATAATGTTAATATTATTTTGCCAGATTCGATCTTTATTCTATTCAAATAATAATAAATTTTTTTTAAAAAAATTTTTTTAAAGGTACGAATTAACAAAGCTAATTACCATTACAAGAAGTATGCTAAATAAAGTTAATGCAACAATTATTGCTAAAAAATGATAGTTTTTTTTCAGTATATTTTTCCAATTCTGATTATCTTCAGTATTTATATTGATATTAATATTTTGTCGTTGTAGCTGGATTTTGTTCGAGACCTTCGAATGTACGGTTGTTTGAACTAGATTCGCATCAATTAACTCTTGATCTGAAGTTTCTTTTAATATTACTAAATTGTGGTCATCTAAATTTTGGTTATTTAAATCTTGTCTTTCTAAATTTTGTAGATCTTCTGTTGATAGCACCAGTTCTCGATCGTCATCGGATTTATCTATTAATGAATTTACCTATTAATGATTCAATATATAACTCAAAATTATGAAATAATACCTTTATTAAAATTTTTACGACTTATCCCAATTGGTAAAGAGAATATAATTAAAAAAGCTATCTCGATAAATAAATTATTCAAAGAAAAAAAAAGTACTAGTATATTGTCGAACGGCCGTAAAAAAATAATCTCTATCATAACAATGGGATTCTCTAAAATTATTACTAAATTCACTTCTTTTTTGATTATTAATTCTTTGTGTTTCAATATGAAATGCAGGTGTTTGATTTGAAAAAGGTTCTTTTGAATTATATTTATCTTTAAGTTTATCAGTAAAATATTGTTGATAATAGCTGTAATCATCTTCTGTTAAAGTAACATTTGGTATTTCCATATTTAGAATTTTTTTATAAGTTGGTTTAGGAGCCATTAGGATGAAAGTCAGAAAATTCAGATTATTTTATAAAATTACCAAGATCGAGCAGTCAGTTATCTATTTTATATCATAAGAGGTCAATCAAAAGATTTATATTTTTGACGGAATCACATGTATAATTAAATGATCTTTGGTTTTTTTTAGTAATAGTATGTGTTTTGGCGATTTAAAGATAAAACAACATCATGCATGTATGAACTGCCATGATGTTTCAGTCAATAGACTTGCTAGTTTTGCCGAAATTACATGTGTTATAAACTTTTTAGGTTTTAGAATCCTCGACTTTGAATTATGCAATCGATATATATTTATAAACCGGTTTTTGCTTTCTAAGTGTTAATTAAAATGTACTCTAAAAATTTGTAAATTCGTTAGTGTTATGTGATATCTTACTTCGTAATCAAATATCTCATATATGATAAACTTTTCAGACTTTGAAATCATATCTGATAATCTTTCTGATAGAAATCGCGTAAAATTTTATTTTGTTTGTGTGATGCTCCAAAAAAAAAAGATCAGAAATTCGAATAGCAATTAACGAGATTATCTCTTTTGAATTATATCTAGTGATGCAAACCGTAAATTATAGATAATATAAATTATCTACAGGATACTTTAAATCTGTAGATATTTACTGGTTTAAAATAATCTTAGATTATTTATATTATATATTCAATGCTCGGTTTACTGCCGATATCAAATGAATTTGTATAATAAGTAATATAAATCAGTTTTAAGTTGTTATTGTAATATAAAAATCACAATGGTATTTTAATCCAAATTTGGCATCGACGCTTAATACCATATAACCGCGAAATAACGCAGAAAGTGTATTTTCGAACTTTGGCCTGAATTAGGCATAATTCGGGCCGAAATTTGAAATAACGCCGGTACGTATAAAAAACTATTAAAATTTTTTTATTGAATTTGATTATTTGTTGTTGAGTTATTCTTGTTTAATGTTTTAAAAAATTTACTTAGAAAAAATATGCGTTTTTACTGACTCACCCCCATATAGCATACTCGAAGTTCTGCATTTAAAACTTATAACTAGTACTATATAAAGTAAAAATATTCCTTCCTAATTCATCAATATCCAACCACCAATCATTCCAAATCTGTTCTTTAGACTTTGGACACCGTTGTCCCTTAGAATGATGTTTAATCCAGTTTTTTGTTGAACAAATTGAATATTCGATTTTTTCTATTTTCCATTCTTCAGTTAATTTCGACCCATCCATAGTACTTAACTTTTCTGATGGTTTATACTTACAGTCTCGCGAATTATAATTAGCTTAATTCTTATATTGTTGTTTATTGTCTTCACCAAATTTGTCGCAGTATTTACACCATTTGTAATATTTATGCTCGATATCTTCTCACCTCCATCCAATAGCATAATAACAATACTATTTTAACATACAATAATCAGATTCTTCGAACCAAATACAAGTATTTTCAGAAGAATATTTACATTTCTTATTATCCATGTCGCACCAATTACACCATTTTTCTTCAGGTATATACCTTGGTCGGTCATCTATAATTAAATATCATGAATACATGTTATTATATCATAATCTAAAACAATACAAGGCAAGATTTAATTAAATATATTTATACAGCATTATTTCAGTAATAATTGAAGAAAAACAAAACTCTAATACAGACACTTCGCGAATTTAAATTAATCTTATTAGTTATATCACATGTTCGCACCAAGATTATGGCTTACATTAATTAAATCAACTACTTTTTTTTACTATACTGATAAATCATAACATAATTTATTTTAATGGAGTATCACAATGTTGTTAAACAGACTAACTATTGATAATCCGATTTATCGATAAATTATTAGTTTTGACAATTCACATATAAGCATATGAAAAAAGTATTGATTTTACTATATCAGATATCAAGATAAATAATATTTGTAGCATACTCTAAAAATTTTAATTTATTTGAAATTTTACTTTAAAATTATGGGGTAATATGTAACCCACAGATTTATAATATATACTGATAACTCCAGGAAAAATCAAAATATAATTCCGGGCAAAATTAAATTATAATAAATAAATCAAGGCATAATGCAATTTAAAGAACTATAATACATGGTAAATCTAAAAAGAAATCAAAGTATCAAAAATAATCTAATTTAAGTTTATATGGTATGTAGAATAATTACTTTATCAATATTCTAAAATTTGTGAATTTATTAGTGTCACGTAATATCTTACTTCGTAATATCTGATGAAGGTTTACTTCTTTATATTTCAAATCTACTGCCAAGACCAGTAAATAAACTTCTTAATTTACTATCGTCGCGTGTTATTTACTTCAAATGTAATGTCAAAAGCTTTGACAAAATCTCATGTATGATAAACTTTTCAGGCTTTAGAATCACTATTATAAAGTCATATCTGATAATCTTTCTCGCGTAAAACTTTATTTTGTTTGCGTGATGCTCTGAAAAAAAGTCGAAAATTCGAATGGGTTATGATAATTGACTAAGAGATTATCTCTTTTGAATTATATAAATGAATGTATAATTTTCTACTATATAGAAAATTATACTTTTTTTGATACTTTTTATATGTAGCATATTCTAAAAATTTTTAATGTAATAACGCTAACATAAAAGCCACTCTAATTTAAAGTTCGATTCAATTATCGTTATAGGATTTTCATACAATTTACTTTATCTATATCGATATCGATATATTTAAATTAACGTTAACAATATCAAAAACCTGTTTACTGTAAAGAATTATATTGTTATATTTATATCTGATATCTAGTGATGGGGACTTACAAAAGATGAAGCGTATAAAAAAATCATTGTTATATAGTTTGCCAAATTTGGAACTAATATAAAAATTATTCTAATTTTAAGTGCGTTAGTATGAAAATTTTAAAAAAACTAGTTTTTTGATTTTACTTATATCAGATATAAAAATAAATAATATTTGTAGCATATTCTAAAAATTTTAATTTATTATGGGGTAATTCAATCACTCAATTAAATTACTATAAATAATGTGATGTTAAACCCATACTTTTTTTATCTATCGAATGAACTTAAGAATATATACTAAGGAAGTTTTTTTATATTATTTCTTTATATTTTTATACTGCTGGATATTCACTTTATATATTCATTTCTTAGTGAAAAATTTGATTCATAACTTCGGCAATTTGATTCCTATTGAATCAGATCTGTCAGGTATCCATGTCGGGATAACCAACTATAAGCTTGTGTTATATAAATACTAATTTATTTTGTCTGGAATTTTAATCTCATCACCAAGATGCCGCCTCCAAGAAGAAAATATCTCGGTGGTAATAGACTTGATAAAACCGCGGACAACAAATTCAAATGTCCTAGTTGCCCAAACTTCAACTTTTGATAGCCATAAAAAAGTTGTTGATCACGTAAAAGAGATACACAAAACAACATTATTGGGATTAATATATCGACAAGATTCCAGAAGAGCAGAAGACTTGTTGTTTAAAAGAGATTCTTATAAAGTAAAGCCGTACAGAAAACTTGATAGACTTATTAATGAGTTAACGCATGCCGAAGAAAAATATCTGCCCTTAACTGAACATGAATATTCTGTTAAACAAGTATTTGCTCAAAGTCGTCAGAGTATTTTGCAATTGCAGGAAAATTTTAAGATGTTTACCCAACACCAACTTAGTTTAAACCAAACTATTATGAATAAAAAAGTCTTAGCAGAAAAAGAAAAAGTAGCAACTACAATTGAGAAGTAATATTTTTTATTGAAATGATTTTTGCTTGAGATTAAGAGTTTATTTGTTGTTAATTTTTTTTTAGTTTATGCAAAGAGGTTGCAAATCTTAAAAGCGAGCTTATTAAAAATAATAAACAAATTGAATCATTAAATGAAAGGCATAAAAAATTACTCAATTCATATGGAAGTTTACTGAATAATCATACTGTTCTTAAAGAAGATTACGTAGCGTTGTCAGAAAATAATAGTGATTATTATGCAGAACGTTGTTATCTATTAGTGCAAGAAAATAGTGAATTGGTTAAACGGGTAAGTTTTTTATATTAATATACTCTTCCATATTAAATACTATCATATGGTTGGATTTTTTTATTATAAATATGTAGAATTTAGAATTATTTGAAGAAATCGAATGGTTACACAAAGAAATCAGAACATTATATGATGAAATCGAAAAATTAAAGAAAAGAAATGAATCGCTTTCTTGTGTAATTGTTATAGATAATTGATAATACTTAGGATTTTTTTCGAATAAAATACTATTAGTTGCTTATACCAATGTGGATTATCGGATACGATTCTCAAATCTATGTTTTACATCCCTTATTAGAATTGAATATTAGAACTTTGAGGGAAGTATATTTTGTTTATTTTTATTTATTTCATTTATTCAGATATTCACTTTTCATGTTTTATTAATGTTAGAGGAATTGGGACGAGCTTTTCAGAGTAGTTACAGTGAAGAAAGCACATTTTTGCTTTTCGGAGTTATTGCAGTGAAGAAAGGCTCCATCGCGATTTTATGTGAAATAGAAGTTTATACGGGTTCTCCTGAGTTAAGTAGGTATAACTAAAAATGTAATTACACTTCTAGTTAACAATGAAGGAAACCCAATTTGAGCACAAAAGAAGTTTTATTACCATCACTTCTACATAATGATCAAGATTAAACATATAATTATTTTAAAAACTTCTATGATGATGTATAAAATTATGTTTATTAAATTACTTAAATCTGAGAGGTTTATGTAAAGCACAACTATATTAAAGAAATTCCAATATTGTATTTCTCGTTTCGACTTCGAGACACTCTAATTCACCCATTGTCTTTACTGTGATGTTTATTTAAACCAGTTTAGATTAAATTTATTTGTCATTAATTATTAATATATTAGTTTAAAAAATTTACTATTATTAAGAAAACTAATATATAAGTTCTAAATCTATAATCAGGTTTTCCATTTTTTCTATGATTTTACTAAATAATAAGTTGACTCAGTAACTGATGACTTATAGATACGAAAAAATTACACGTGATTTGTCCACTATAAATTTATCGACTGCACTTATGATTCAAAATTTTCAATTTACAGTAATAAAATACTTAAATTTTATCTTCTTTTTTAATCACATAAAACAAATAAAAATGTCATTAGTTAACTAAATATTTTTGTCAGATATTTAGAGATGTGATCCGTTTGATTATTTATACATAAAGCTTCAGTTTTTACAAAAATCAGTCAAACAATAACTTCAGAATTACTTTTTATAAAGTAAGACGCGAACTTTCTAATTTTTTGTCTTACCTTCCGGAATTCGTATTGTGACCCTAAATCAGCCTAAAGCCCACTTAATAATACAATTCTCCTTTCTAGTTACTGCGGATTGAAATTATCATATGACTAATACTTTTTATAAATATTTCTTTTTTTTTTGAGTTTTCGCAAAGCTAGATTCGAAATGTTATTAATTCTATCACATATTTTTTAATTATTAAAACCGGTTTTATAAATATATTATTACAGAAAAATAATATTATATAACTATATTTTTGTTATAGCATTAAGTCATATGATAACAAAAATGAATTAACCTCATGTTTCATTGCTGAATTTATTATTAAAAAAAATTATTTTTAATTCATGACTTTATATTATAAAAAAAAAAAATAAATTCGGTATGCGTTATTATATTATTTATATTGCATTGTAACAAAAGAACAAAATGCATAACTTAATCATGTGCAGAATTAAAATTTCCAATCCTCTGTATAAATCTTAAATTATTCTTTTCTCGTATTTTTAATTAAAGCCACAGTATACAATAATAATAATAATTCAAAATCACTTTCATTTTAAAATAGAGATAAAAGTAGTCTGACCACTTTGAATTTTACAATACA